TTGGCTTCCGCCTGCAGGTGTACTAGAATGATTCTTATGATTTTTCATGCAACTTCATCTTTCAAAATACTTATACATCATTGATCTTAAAATTTTCCGCTTACAATAGACACTTTTATGCCAATATATTGTAGTACCTAAAAGTAAAGATAAAGGCTTTAAACTTGTAATAAAAAGTATAATCAGAAACTGTTGAAGCAATTATTTTGTTATCTAATTCATATCAAAGTAATATAAAGGTATTCTAATTAAAATAAAATTCAAAATCAAAATGTCTAAATTTTCCTATCTTATTTATTTTGTATATTTACCTACATGTACATATGTATATAACTAGACAACTTTTTAGATATATATATAGTTTCATTTACTTCGTAAAATAGAAAATTAAAGGATTTTCATCTAGAGTCATTTTCTTCTGATAAATTTGTTCGTCGTTATCTTTTATTATTTTTTCAATGATAACTTTTTGGAGTAAAAATTCATTTAAAATTAAATGGAGTAAGGGATTTACTATTCCTACCACAATAAAATCATTTAATTTGATATATCTTTTTTTTGTATATTGTAAAATTTAACCTTTATATTTCTACCTTTTCATGTTATTTGTAGTTTTGTATGTATTATATTCCTGAAAATAATATAATGTGGAAAATTAATCACAATATCACAAATTCTGCCTTTTTTGATTATAAAATGCTTATTGTTATATGTACGTATATGATAGCATTAAATTTTTGGAAAATTCGTTTTCAAATTTTCATTCAAATTTCATCAATGAATCTTTAAAAATAAAAGTAATAAAGTCGAACCAGTGTTACAACTACATACATGCATTGTTAATATTAAATTAAAATTAATTTTGCGCTGTAATCGTAATCTATTATAAATATGAGAACTAACATACTCGTATTAACTATTAGATTAAAATTAGTTTTAATAAAATTTCATTCTCCTATTTTTTGAATGGTTTCGTATTGATTCACTATTATGTTATAGTGTTTCATAAAATCTCTAATTTAACTTATTCAACACAATGACGAGTGAATTTCGGTTATGGGTTACAACAAAACTTGCGCAAGAATGTATACTGGTATATATGTAAAAACAAAATATAATACTTTTATTTGTGGTTCATTTACAAAAACGATGTCAATTACCTTGGAAACCTCTATATGTATATATAATAAAGCTTTATACTTAGAGCACTACTATATTGTTTTATATGATATGAATATACTAATATTAGTGTACCTGCTTATAAAACTATTTAGATTTAACGAAAGTAAAAAATTTTGTATGAAAAATTTGTTGTTTTCTATGGTAATTTGAAATTATTTTAGTGTCAATAATTTTAAAGTAAAAAAGGTTTATATACTTTTACATTGCTCTTAAATTATAGGGATAACACTAACGAATGCTTATTTTTTTGCTATGATATGGTAAGAATAATGAACTATAATAAGAAATTCTGTTTTTTTTTTCAATTTTGCAAACATATTTTTCTGTATAGCGTGAGATTCTAGTGAAATGCTAACAAAGTTTGAAAATTGATAATGAATATGATTGGCTTTAATGTAATTATCAACCCATTACAATTTGATTGAAAATTTTAAGATCATTTTTTTCTTGAAAAAGTATGTGATTATATCCAATTAAGCTTTCCTCTAAAGGTTAAACTTGAATCAAATAATCGAAACAATATAAATATAAACTCAATTATAACTTAAACACATTGGTAACGTTGAAATAATGTATGTATGTATATGGTTTCCATAATGTATAATTGTGTCGTTTTAAATAGAAAATTGGTAACATAAAATAACTTACTAAAAAGTAATTTTGTTTTAATTGGTTAACATTTTCATAATGAAAGTACCATATAAGGGTAATGTTATACAATGTACAGATTTTTACCATATACTTAATTAAAATAAACATAATGTAATGGAAAATCAGGGAAAAGATAAACATATTTACGTACATGTAATAATAATGCAAAACATATCCTTAAAAAGCAATATTAATTGTAGTTTTACATTATAATGATAGTTTTCCTTCCGATAGTACAACAAAACATTTAAAATCTTCCATATAATCTCTAATTTTTTTTAGATCATTTAATTTAATTTTTCATTTTTTAAATAAATAGGGCATAAAAATTAGAAAATTAATATTTAATTATTTTATATCGAAATTTAAAATTAGTTTTTTTTTATGAAAATTAATAATCATCGAAAAAAAAGTAGTTTATTAAAACTTTTTCTGCAAATGAACATAATATTCATTTATGATTTTTTAATTTAAAAATTTAAGGATATTATTTAAGTTATACTGAGTATATTTAAGAAATCACTATAAATATGAGATATTCGCTCTAAATTAAATTTTTGAAATTTGATTCCAATACTCACGCATATGTGAATTAAATGAAAAATAATAAATATTTGAAATAAATACTTAATGTCTAAACTTTTTAACATGATTTACGTTTAAGAAACTAATTTAAAGAAAGCGTTAAGGAACAAGTAGAAGTTGTTGGGAAAATATTAATCAAATAATGTCAAATTCCACTCCAGTTAGTTCGCCAAATCCACTTAAAATACAAGGGAGTTATAAGTAGTTTTAATATAATGAGAAATTTTGCAACACCCGTGTGCGTCGAAGTACCGGAAAAGTTTCACAGATATCTATAGAATATATTTATTAGCCCAAAACCTCTGAACCTCTTAATCATATAAATTCCATTGTAGTTTATCATATTCATCGTTAATATGTTATCATCTTCAACACACCTTTAGTGGATGCTACCATACACACATATATCAAACTGATATTATCCGAATTATTACACAGTCTCTTTAAAACTCAAAATAGCCTCTCACTTTTTCATACATATTCCACCATTGGGCCAAGATACACCACTTAAAAATTTGTGAACTCGACCAACCTATAAACCTTGTCTGATAGAAGTCTCGTCCCAGTAAGTGTATATATTTTTATTCTGCTTGTGGATTAAAGTATAAGACTTATGTTTAAATTCTTTTTTTCACACTTGCATAACTGCTACATACATACATAATACATAAGAAAAATTTCCGTTTATTAACTGCGAATTCTACAACGAGTTTTTCTTCTTAAACTCACATTCATGTAATAATCATGCAATATAGCACTATTTCAACTGTAATAAAATAATAAATTTCCATGTCTTCTATGAGTGTAAATTAAATAATATTTTACGAAAAAAAAACGGGAATTGTTTGAAGCTAAGGGTATTTGCCATGGATAGAAATGAAAAGTTGCAGGAAAAAAGAAAAGTACATAAATTTTTCGAATCATATGCAGAATTGCATAATATGAGTTATCAGCATAAAATCTGAACTTTAACTGTTCGTAAACAATATACGATGTAAAATCGATGAATCACGCAAAAATAACATGAGAATGAGGATAAGAAAAAAAAACTAAAATTGTGTGTGTTATATGAATGCCTGGTGTGTTTTTTTTTTCTTCTTGTATTTCCAAAATTTATTTTATAAATCGCATCAAGAAGATTTACAGTTTCAAAGCATAAAGGATTATTACTTTTCTTCTTTTTTTGTGACCTTTTCAAATTCTTTTTCCTTTCTACCATGTGAAAAGTGTAATTTATTTGTATTGTACTGAGATATGCGCTTATAAGTAATCTGAAAAATTCAGAATCTAGCAAATTGAATATTATTGGATATTTGATTTTAGTAAATCCATTCTTTAGTGAGAAATATAATTATGATTAAAAGAAAAGCTCAAATTAAAAGCCTCCAACAATCATGTGAGAACAATTAATCGATAACAACCAATATCATAATCCATTAGAACTAGTTCATAAAAGAAAAAAAACCAAATTTTTTGATTAAGTGTAACATTTCAATTCCTTAAAATGGTAATACCAATGATTTTGATTCTGACTGAAATTCGGATGAAATCGAAACTACATTGACACCCTAAACTTTACTGTAAATTTCAATTCCAAGTATGACACACTGATAAAATTATTTATTAAATGATCACGAATTCGTACTCACAAATCGAATTTCATATTGTTTTAAGATATCTATACAAGTTAGTGTATAGATATCTTAATACAAGAATATTTTAAAGAACAATAACACCTTTTTACAAATGCTTGATTTGAAATAAAACTTGTTTTTTTTTTATAACGTTGAACGAGTATCATAAATACAAAGACATTTCTAGGAAAAAAAAATCAACATTTAATTTTTGTATCTTTATACTCGTAGCAAAAAAAAAAAAAAATGGTTATGAAATTTCAACTTAACAAAGTTCAAGGATTCAACTTTTATATCATGAAACACGGAGTGTTCTAGAATTTTTATGTAAAACATTTATGAGATTTTCATATAACAGTTATGGTACTTTTTAATACTGTTTTGATTGCACTATGTATTTTTTTGCTTAAGGATATTTTGATTCTCTAAAGTTTCTATGGTAATATGGTATTTTAATACATTTGTAAAATTTTAAAACTATGAGTATGCAAAAAAAGCAAAAAAAGGCAAATTAAAGTTCAAAGAATTTATATCAGCTTTAAGAGTAAAGCTTATATTAATGTATTTAATGTTTTTGCTTCAACAAATGGATTCAATTTTAATTGCTACTGAATTTGTAATGATATTGAAAATGTTATTTTTTATTATGAATTATAAGTTCATATTAAGTAATTATAAGGTTCAGAAATAATTTTTTTGTAGTACATGGCCGCAAATCGATTCATATTTTGTGACGTTTTGTTCTAGAATTTTTGACAATAGTACTTCAAATCGGCGAACAGAAATTTTACAACAACAATTTGCAATTTCAAAAAATAAAAAAATTTTCGAAGCAATATAAACTTTGAATTCCATAATGATTTATTGAAATTATTTTAAACACAAATAAATATTTAAAATGTTTTATAATTAAAATAATAATAAAGAGAAATTATTTTTTTATTTCAGGACTGTGGATAAATTATGGTCAATAACTGAATCTTTAAATGTTCTATATAAGGATAATTGGACGAAGATGGCTGATGACGTTGTACGAATGTTTCAGGTAATTTTAAATAAATATTTTGAACTCATTAAGTATAACTGAAATATTTTCTATTAAAAATTGTGAATATGAGAACCATGTATATACACTGAATTCAAGCAATATTAAATTTTAAATTTAATGTACTTTTGACAAATGATTTCGAAAATAAATCAGTGGGGACTTAAAATTAGAATGACATATTTTAACAAGAGTACGCTAAGCGCAGATGTAAAAGTAACATTAAATTTCAAAAGTAATTTTTCAAACTCTACACAATAATTAGAGAATAAAAATTTTCTTTTAAAATCAAATAATTTTTTCCTCCATTATTTTGAGTAGATCAAGACGTCAATGTTTATAAATGTCATGTGGTATTTCTTGTTTTAAAACAACCTTCGACTTTTCTGGAAAATTAACATAAATGATTTTTCAACAAGTTCCACAAACCCTATATTGTGAAATAACTTTCATTCCTTTTTTATCATACCACCTTGCGATATAGTTAAGTTTAGGCTCATACGATGTTTCGAACAACCGTTTTTAAATTTGAAACTTTGTACATTGAGAAATTCTAGGAAATTTTAAGAATAAAAAATTTTCTTTGCACATTAGAAAAAGAAATATTTTGTGAAATTTTTAGATGCCAAACGAAAAAGTAACACAAATTTTATAAATTACTTACTCGTACTCGTTCATTTTTGTTGAAGTGTTAGAATTTTGGTTTAAGAATCTAAAAATAAAATAAGAATTTGATAGGAAACTTTTTTCTTATATTTAAAATACGAGTACGTTTGTCTTTATATACTTAGTATCTTAATTTGTTTGTTAGCCAGCTTTTACATTGATGACTAAATGCTTTATAGTTATAGATACATATAAGGGTACCTGCCACAACTAATCTTAAACCAACTCCTTCCAGTATTATCTGCCAAAGGTAAATCATCATAACATATTTACCGAAACATTGGCAGCATTCCTATTGTCTTAAACAACACATTCCAGCAAGATTTCGGAAAGGCATTAAAGGTGAAAATCGCTCCATTTTTTCGATAAGTCTCACACCGTTTTTAAAGATTTATGCAAACTAACACCGGATGTTATAACACATTTATTCCTCACCATGATGTCGCTGGAGCTCCCAGTTGGCGAAAATCTTTCTGGTCGAAAATATCTGATTCATGCAATAAATGGTGATTCCATCACAAGATCGCACTAAAATAAAATGTGGTAATACGAGTTTAATAAATAACAGTAATAAAAATTTGTATGTACGTATACACATATATAATATTAATAATTTCGAAATTTTGTATTTCCATCAAATGGAAAAATATGTTTTTTTGTAGATAGCTTAAAAAATAATTAATTGGAATATTTCTTAAATTATTATTTCACTTTAATGATTTTTTTTGCCTAAAGGCAATACACTTGAAAAATATGATCCTTTGAATGAATGTATGTTCTGCTCATACTTTTTAAATATATGTATACACAACAATAAATTTTAATTAAAATTTATAAATTTATTGTCTATTGCTTCAATGAACATTCTATTGAATTGCATATAGATACACAATAATCTAAACCTACAAATAAATAAATATACCTTTGTAATAATAATATTATATTAAAATATTAATTAATTTTAATAATCGAATTTTCATAAAGATTTTTGAATACTCGACTCTCCTCTAAACAAATACAAAATCATAATATTGTAGTGATCTTCCGGCTATATTAATTTACATTTGTATTTATTTAATATGATTTTTACAACATAATTAAAAAATGAAGTACATAGATTGTTATAGGCAACAGGATTGTTATTTGTAATAAAAAAAATTACAAATATTGAATTAAATTTCTTACACACTACATATGTACTTATTATAGAAGTAGAAAGTTTTATAATAGAAAACGTTTTGTTCTTTGTTTTGAAATTTTGTATTTTTCAGTAGTATTTTTTTGATATTTCATTAAAATTCAAAATGTAGTATGAAACTTGCTTAAAAATAAGAGAAATTAGTTGTTCTAAAAAAGTACAATTATTATAAAATAATAATTAATCAAAACTTTGCATTTTATCATTGATTTCCGCGGTAGAAGTATTATTAATTTTCATTGAGAGTATTCATATGAATATATACATTCATCAAAGTAAAGGTATTTTTCTTTGAAAAATTACATAAAGTATTAAACAACTTAATAATAAAATTCTTTATCTTGCACTTTATTTATTTTTATAGGTACTGCAAATGAATTACCAGAAAAATTTTTAAATTTATTATCATAGAATTTAAGTTTAATTGAAATAATTTCCTCAATTTTACATACAAAAAGTAATTAAAATAATAATTACATAAAATAACTTTTAATTACTTGCGAATTAATTTTATTGATCCAACGAAAAAAAAAAAACAAGAAAATTAATAAAAATAAAAATGGCTTCATAAAATTTTGAAAAACCCAAAAACTTTTTCTTATTTTTCTTTTCTGTTTTTAACGTATAAAATTCGTTTTTCATTTACTTTTCAAGGATAATATAATAAATAAATAATAAAAGAATTCTTTTGTAAATAGCTGAATGTGTGCCACATTTGTCTTCAAAGTAAAAATAAAAAAAAAAATACAAGAAACTCTTAATTTTAATTCTCTGGGGGTCTTAAACTTTGACATAAAAATTTGAGATAAACTTACATTTATATATACATTTATTAAATGTAATATAAGCAAGGCACCTTAGTACAATGTTTATAAAGACAGTTAATGTGTTCGGCAAGAGAAAAATTATGAAACAAAAGTAAAAGGGATAAGGAAAAAGATTTTATGAAATATGACATGAACATTTCCTGTCACATTCTGTCTACATTTTTCTATTTATTTATTTATTTTTTATTTGTTCATGAGATAGCTATAAAAAATTTTTGTAAAATATGCCCTTCGAAGTCATAATATGCAAATCAAAATGTTTTATTTCAAGTTTTATAAGAGACTTGAAAAAATTAATTTATTTATAAAAATACCAATATTCTGTATAGCTTTTATAGGTCGATCACCTCCCATTTCCTTGCAATTAATGGTACCGAAAATATACACAAATACAATTTATTTTAATTTTTATTTTAATTTTTAATATGAATTTTCTTTGACGCAAGTCAAAAAAAAATCATTTAAAAAATTAAAACAGCAAAAATTATGAAATAATTTAAATCAATTTCGAAAAATATTGTTTGAATTGTTTTGAATTAGATCTTTAATTAAAAACTATGAAAGAATGCATTCATATACAATTTTTCGAAGAGAAAGAGCATTTTTAGTAATATCATCTCTTCAAATTAAATTTTATTATTGTGGCCCGCCCTCCTCCCATCAGCCCACAAGCGTTCCCTCGAAACCTGTGCTTCTGATAAATTCGATTATCTTGTGCATTCGGATCCTCACCTCATGATGCTTTAGGTTTTATTCAACTAAAATAATATACTTTTATTAAAGACGCATTTATAAAATATTTTTTCCATAAATTTCTATTTGTAAATTTTTTTTTAAAATTGCAATTGTTCACTTAAACCGATCTAACTTTAAAATACAAATATGTACATACATTTTAACCTACACCTCTTTTTCGTCTTAATTTTTAGAAATATTATGTATACAGTAAAGCTCTTGAACCTATTATATAAAACTTGAGCACATAAAAATTTGTGTTTTTGAAATCTCATGACACCTGCACAGTGTAGCAGCTTTCTACACATATCTAAACAAAAAGAATGCTTAAGATATTCACACACACACAAACTTCACGTTGTAATTCCTTCCATTTCATTTATTAATTTCTAGGAATATTTGAAAACGACATGGAAGCATAGAATACTCTCACGTCTTTCTAAGCTTAAAAGAAAAACAAAAGTAAAAATATTTTTACTAAATTGATAAATTCTAAAAAATTTCTTTCCCAATAAATTTTTCTTTTCTTTGTACAATTTTCAATTCAATTCAAAAAAAAAAAAAATGAAAGATAATACATAGTATGTCTTACTTTTTTCCTAATGAAATTTCTAAAAATTCTCTTTTAAAGAAATTTCTGCCTTCTTTAATATTTTTTTTTTTTCTTTTTATATATTTTCCTTAAAAATTTTCTTAAATTACAAGTAGCTGAAGATGTAAAATTATGTGCGGTTATGCTCTAGATATGATGACAATTAGAATTATTTCAAATCAACTATATTTTTGTTCTTTTTACAGTTCCTTAAATGTTATATTAATGGCATTTAAAATTTATGCGTCATTCTTAATATTTCACAGGAAATAGAGGTGACACATTAAAGTGTTGAACGTTGATAAATAAAATAATTTTAAGAATATACACACATGTATGTATTTTAATGAGTTCGAATATTGTGTATACAATACACGTATATAAAAATTGTATTAATAGAAAAAAAAGGAAAACAGGAATTACGAGAGAAGAACTTTGCCACAATTTTTAAACCATTTTCAAAACTTTTCTGTTCCTTTATTCTCTTTCTCTTAAAATAATTAAAGTAAAAATAGGAAACACGTTAAAAACTTTTTAACATTTCATATTTAAGTGTAATTAAATGAAATTTATTCAAAAAAGAAAAAAATCTTTTTGTACATAAATATAGTAAACAAATTTCTTAAATAAGGAAAAAAATTAATAAGCAAAATTTAAACATGAAAAAGTTCATTTCCATTAGTTTTTGGTGGAATATTCTTCTTTGTTTTAGTATCAAGAATTTTAACGTTATAGAAAATAGACCTTTAAAATAGATTTGAAATAACTTTTCGTTACTGTTAGGTAAAGAGTGTGTAACTTAATTTAGCAATATAACTTAATCTTGATGGATAATTTAGCCAAAGGAACGAGTCAAGTCGCTAGACTCATAAATCATTGATTTATCGCTTTATAGACAGACGCTTTATTAACTGAACTATAGAGGTATGCAACAAAAATTAAAATTTCATCTTAATTTCTTTTAATTTCTGCTCTTTTAAGT